ATTTTTGCGTGTGTGTTTTTACAATTACATATAAGGAAGGCAACTTTTCATGTCCTAAGATAACCTTTCATTAATCATGAATTTACATAACTTCCGTCCAGGGAAGGGGTACTCCAGCTAATAATAAATAACCTGTCAAGAGCGTATTAACAACAGTGCTGGGAATTTGAAATTTAGTACTTTCAAAAAATATATGAAGACTGTTTATCACAATTGTTTTTTATTTTCACGCAAAGTACTCGAGGGCTATCTGTGCTAGTCGTCCCTTATTTAGCACTGCTATCTGTGCTAGTCGTCCCTTATTTAGCAGTGCTATCTGTGCTAGTCGTCCCTTATTTAGCACTGCTATCTGTGCTAGTCGTCCCATATTTAGCAGTGTTATCTGTGCTAGTCGTCCCTTATTTAGCAGTGCTATCTGTGCTAATCGTCCCTTATTTAGCACTGCTATCTGTGCTAGTCGTCCCTTATTTAGCAGTGCTATCTGTGCTAGTCGTCCCATATTTAGCAGTGTTATCTGTGCTAGTCGTCCCCAATTTAGCACTCCTATCTGTGCTAGTCGTCCCTTATTTAGCAGTGCTATCTGTGCTAGTCGTCCCTTATTTAGCACTGCTATCTGTGCTAGTCGTCCCTTATTTAGCAGGTAATAAAAAGTATCATGTTTTTCAGGTGACTACTACTATTGGGTGTTACGTTGTAAGTGTCATGTTTTTCAGGTGATTACTACTATTGGGTGTTACGTTGTAATATATTGCGTTAATAAGCCTCTACGATAAGCTATGGTTAGAGAAGTAAGAGCACATGTGTAAGAGGAAGTTTCACAGGATTTGATCAGTAAGTGGACGAATGATTAATAAATGCGGGGAATGGCTAATGTGCAAGACTAAATGAACGAGCCTCTGGTGGAACCAACACTCAGATATTGCATTTCGTAGTAATTTATTTTCCTTTTTTTATATTCTACTGGACATCACACCATATATACATACATACACAGGATCTAAGATCTACGAAAGCATTATACTAGCAAACTACGTACCACTCCATTTAGCTAAATTAATGTGATCCAGTTAGAGTTTGATGACCACTTGGTGTCAACAAGTGGCTATCGGGCCAACAACCTGAGAAAGGTCATCTTTTCAGTGCCATTTGCCAATGAGGACAGGGGGGGGGATCTAATAAGTGTTACTGATTATCAATGTTCAACTGTACAGAAAATTTAAGTATAACGATATACATTGATTTTCAATAATGTAGAATCAGGTATAGAATGCCAAGTTTGATATTAAGTTCAATTGGTCATTTTATGACGTTATACTCTATCATAAATTTGGTGTTTGAAATATTATTTACTTACTTTAAGTAACCTATGTTGATATAGGTATTTTAAGAACAGGTAGCATTAATGTACTTTTTCCATATTGTACAGCGATCCAACTGTTTGATTATTATGTTTAAATCAAGAAATGTTCCCTGCATCTCGCTTTACGACATTACATGTAAGGGAACGTTTTCGTTCGGTTTACCAAATAACAATTAAATCAGAAAATTCCCTTTTGATAAGTTATATATTTTATGAAGTTATGGAATACAATATTTTAATAAGTCCAGTTTGGAAAATGAGATTTCAACAATAGGTAAGAACGTGCTAAGCTTGTACGACATGAAGGATCGATCCATGAATTCTAACGTCATCCTTGAAACCTGGTTTAACTCTGCAATTAAAATTGAAATTCGTTTGTCTGTAGCCTCGCAGCATGTGGTGATAAGGCTTGCAAGGAGAGTTGAAACACTCATTTCCTTTATAACTTTTCTCAATTAATTTGGTTTATAACGATCACAAACTAACTCGGTGAAAATTATATTGTAATAAGTTTGCTCTTTTTTTTTAGATCTATGTATGTTAAAGATTTCATTTTCACCAAAGATGAAATTGAAATGACAATCTGTGACGTAAAGGCATAATGCATTCCTTGATTGGCTGTACCCTCTGCTGTGGACTGCAGTTTCGCCCATTCAAGGCTCATCAGCACAGCTTGGGTCAACAAACCAAAAAATGCAATTAGGCCTAATATTTATAATGGTGAAGTGTATATAATTTCTATTGAGTTTTCAGTCCTTTCCAATTCACCATACAGTAACCAAAATTAATTTATGTATGTGAATAACGTTATGACATTTCGACTAATTTATTATTCGATATTACAGAGAAAAAGCAACTGTTTTTCATGATTATATTTATGTGTTAAAGATTTATTTTCTTTTTCACTAAAGGTGAAATTAAAAAGGGAATCTGTGATGTAGAGGTTGTTGATTGGTTAATTAAAAAGGACTCAAAAACCCATAGAAATGTTTTGACATCTGTTCTTTATTTTATTGTTTTTCCGTAATGTGGATCTACAGATGAGTATGTCTTACATACCGAAAGTTGCTTTACGTTCGGAAAATACCAAAATCCCACCAAAAGTCATACTTAAGTTACATCATAACTGACTTTTGAATAGCTTTAGGCTAAGAACAAACAAACTCTTATAAAATTGATAAAATTTACACTTCATCAACTCAGTCTAGTTCACACCATAACCTAGAATTTGATCATATAAACAGCGTCTCAACCACTACTGTGTCTGTTGTATTCCAGGTAGCCTGATGAGCCGTGATATTTTTCGATAGGCCTCGTCGGCACTGGACATAGCAGATATACTGTGGTTTACATATTGTTATAAATTGTTCCTTATTTTCACTCAGAAGTTCTTAAAATTACACACTTATGGTGTGAAATTCTCATCTTTTCACGAACATGGAGTATTAATGTTGAAATTACACACTTATGATGTGAAATTCTTACCTTTTCACGAACACGGAGTATTGATGTGGAAATTACACACTTATGGTGTGAAATTCTTACCTTTTCACGAACACGGAGTATTGATGTTGGAATTACACACTTATGGTGTGAAATTCTTACCTTTTCACGAACACGGAGTATTGATGTGGAAATTACACACTTATGGTGTGAAATTCTTACCTTTTCACGAACACGGAGTATTGATGTTGGAATTACACACTTATGGTGTGAAATTTTTACCTTTTCACGAACATGGATAATTGATGTTGAAATTACACACTTATGGTGTGAAATTCTTACCTTTTCACAAACATGGAGTATTAATGTTAAAATTACACCCTTCCTTCTTCAAGTTTACAATGTAAAATTGAACAAAGAACCCAATTATTTCAACTTTTGCTCCAAATATTTTGCATGCTTATGTATATGCTTTGTGGTACCTCGAATAACCAAGTGAGTTTCAATCAGAATATAAACTGATACATTCTTTCATTTTCGGTAGCTTTCTGTTCAAAGTTTAGATTTGTAATTTTCGTGAGAAAGCTGATTCGCCATCAAACTAGGCGAGGTTTTATAATAGAGAGCACGGTCTCATATACTTGTTGTTGTTTTTTTACACACTTTGAACACTGTAAACAAGGCAACGTTCTAAGGGTAGTTTTAAAGAAAGTCAAATATTTAGTTATCTGTAAACAGAGTATAGAATATTTCCGTTATTAATAACTATTTTAATGGTACAAAAACTGGATTATAATACGTTTCGAATCACTTTAGGCCTGGTATGGCTTGTTGGCTAGGGCACTTGACTCGCGTCCCGTCACCGGACATTCTTGACCTTTTAGGCGTTGAAGTGTGACGGTCAATCCCACTATTCGTTGATAAAATTGCAGCCCAAGAGTTGGCAGTGGGTGCTGTTGACTAGCTGCCTTGCCTCTAGTCTACCGTTTCAAAATTGCAGACTGTTCGCGCAGATAGTCCTCGATCAGCTTTTCGCGGTGAGCAGAGCTGAGATTGTGCAGCTTTGTGCTTAACCACAAACAAACAGCTACAGACTGCGAGAAATATTCAATATAATTTTCTCGAATATTTTTCACCAAAAGAAAGAGAAAGAAAGTGATGATTTTTTAAATATGTTCCAGGATATGTCGGTAGTATGTTCACAGACTTACAAAGCTAAAATCCGGGGTTCGATTCCCCGCAGTGTACACAGCATATAGCCCAATGTGGCTTTCCTCTAAAACAAACGAGCAAGTTCTGCGAGTAATTCAACAATACCAACGAAGAAACTGCGTTGAATTTCCTTCTCGGGAATACGAAGATGGTTTTCATAATATTATTTTACAAAATAACCTTAAAAACCTAGCCGAACATTTTTATCGATTTCTGAAACAGTTAGTCATTATTACCCTGTTTCTTTCTAAGCTCCAACGCGTAGCCCCCCCCCCCTCCACAGTGGCACGGCGGTTTGTCTGCAGACTTACAACGCTAAAAACCTGGTTTTGATACCCGTGGTGGGCAGAGCACAGATAGCTCATTCTGTAGACATAATAAAAAACGTAATTCAGGCGGTGGACGTAAGTAAATTGCTACTTTAAATTACACGTAGCTGTTTTACAAAACTTGTATATGGTGTGCAATAAGAAGGTAAACAAGAAATAACTACTATTACACGAACTTAAGTCGATTCATTTTCAAAGTTTCGTTTTCTTTCGTGATTAAGCGTTCAAAATCATTCTTTACGAACGCACTCTATGATTTTTTCCAGAAATAGTGGAGCTAGTCAAAAAACAATCGAAGCCGTATTTCCGGCCTCTATTGGAAGAAGATTTGTGTAACAATGAGTTAGTTCAGATGATCAAGCGCTGCTGGGAAGAAGACCCTGCTGACCGACCCGATTTCCAGAACCTCAAGTCCATCATCCGCAAACTTAACAAGTGAGAGAATTTGTTTTTAGTATACGTATATAGAAAGAGGGAATGGTTTGGTAACATACGAAATTCTGACACCTCAGATGAGAGGCAATCCAGAGTGGTATTACTAAATACAAGGGCCCGGCATGTCCGGGTGGTTAGGGCGCTCGACTCGCAATCTGCGGGTCAAGGGTTCGAATCCCCGTTCCACCAAACATGCTCGCCCTTACAGCCGTGGTGGCGTTATTATATGACGGTCACTATTCGTTGGTAAAAGAGTAGCCCAAGAGTTGGCGGTGGGTGGTGATGACTAGCTGCCTTCCCTTTAATCTTACACTGCTAAATTAGGGACGGCTAGCGCAGATAGCCCTCGTGTAGCTTTACACAAAATCCATAACAGACAAACAAACAAACTAAATACAATTTGCAATAAATTGTGGTAAATAAGGCCTAGCATATCCTGGTGGCCCAGCCAGTGGCCGATCGACTCGCAATCTGCGGGTCACGGGCTCAAATCCCCGTTCACCGATCATGCTCGCCCTTACAGCCGTGGGGACGTTAGAATGTAATGGTCAATCCCACTATTCGTTGGTAAAAAAGTAGCTCAAGAGTTGACAATGGGTGGTGTTGGCTAGCTGCGTTAAGGCCCTCTAGTCTATCACTGCTAAATAAGGGACGACTAGCACAGATAGCATACTACTATTGGGTGTTACGTTGTAATAAAAAGTGTCATGTTTTTCAGGTGACTACTATTATTGGGTGTTACGTTGTAATAAAAGAACAAAAGTGTCATGTTTCTCAGGTGACTACTATTATTGGGTGTTACGTTAGTAATAAAAGAACAAAAGTGTCATGTTTTTCAGGTGACTACTACTATTGGGTGTTACGTTAAAAAGGTTAAAAGTCTAGTTAATTTTGGTCTCAACATTTTTACCATCTGTCGAAATTCCACAAACATAATAGTCCAAAATGAGACACGAACTCTCCGATATACAGTAGAAAACACATTTGGAATAGATAAAAACATTTCGTTTCAAATGTGAAGATGTGAAGCGTATTATATTATCTGTATCTACGCTAATGAAACGCTTTTCAATAATGTTTTACAATACGTGATTTTTTCATGGGCTGTTCATTCATAACTTCTTACCTTAAAAGATATATATATATATATATAAACGTTTTGCAGTATCTTCTTTGTTTATATGCTCACAATATAAGATTATATCATTGTCGTAATAAAAGAACAAAAGTATCATGTTTCTCAGGTGACAATGAAGAATGAATTTGCAATAAAACAATTTTAAATATCTTCATATATTAACAGAATTTAAATTTGTTAAACGAATCGAATATTGATAGTCCTTAGAAGACATAATTTGACAGAAATATCTCTTTATTTCTTGAGTAAAACAAGTTTAAATATCTTCATATATTAACAGAATTTAAATTTGTTAAACGAATCGAATATTGATAGTCCTTAGACGC